GTTTGCAATTTATACACATGGTTAGCTTCAAAAGTGTGAGGATTAACTATCGATCTGTTTATCAGTATCTTTACTTTATACAGCTGTGATCAGTTAGGTTGTAGAATAATTTCTGGTTGTGATAGTTTTAACCTTTCGCTAATTGTAGCGGAATCACGTTTGACGTTGTATTGAATAAGAACACGGTTTTTTCTTTACATTCAATTCGTCAAATGTTAACATTCAGTTTTCTGTTTTTTCTAACGGTTTCACCAGACATAGTTTTTTCCGGATCTCAGAGAACGTTCATCAAATTTAATTTGAATGTATTATTAGTAAACATTCAGTGGTGTGTGCTACTTATATAGTTATAAGTAGTATCAAACGCTAGTCAGGAATAGACTGTCTGGCAGCAGAAGGTCGAGAAGATCAAGAAGAAAGGAGCGAGAACAGAAAGCAGTTATCGTTCACTACAATTCTTTCTAATATATAGGAGACCATATTTACCAATGAATAATTCTTAACTGATTGGATAATAACTGTTAGACTTTAGGTAAAATCCATTAAGTATCCTCAAGCAAAAAAGGTGGAATGTTGATTTATGCCATTTGCTTTCTGTTTTATGATCAAGTCAAGTAAGTGAGAATTTTTAGAAGTATTTTTAATGCTTTCCTATTCAATTACGTTACTATATCATTGTTTAGTTCTATTCTAGGTTTCTTTGTAATAAATGTAACTAAAATCACGACAGGAAGTAGATGAAGGTATGTGCAAGATCATGAATTGATTAAAATTAGACATTAAGATTGTCGGATGTCGGCCAAGTGGTCTAGGGGTTATGCGTTCGAGCGTGAGATCGTAATTTTCCGTCGTACGGGAACGTAGGTGCGCACTGCTGACGAAACGGTCGTCCAGTGCTTCCAGATTTTCGATGGGGGTCTATGTAACCTGTGGTTTGTGATTTCAATTGTAAAAACAAACTCATATAATTCAAAATGATCAATAAATTGTGATCAACTGAACTCCTTGTCTTCAACGGACTTTCTTAACACTGAGCTGCGTAGTTGTCCACGCAAAATACTCAATATCCGTTGGCCAGATACTATCAGCAACAGCCTACTGTAGGAAGGAAAAAAACCAGTTTCTAGCTGAAGAGGAAATTAAGAAAAGACGTTGGAAGTAGATAGGACGCGGATTACGTAAATCATCAAACTGAATCACGAGGTAAGCACTAACTTGGAATCGTGAATGGAAAGAGAAAAGTAGAAGGCTGATGAATACACTACATCGAAAATTGGAAGTAGACATGAAGAGGATGAATAGGAACTGGAAAGAACTGGAAAAGATTGTCCAAGACAGAGTTAAGTGGACAATGGTGTTGGATGGTCTCTACTCCTCGACGACAGTTAACAAGCGTAAGTAAGTAAGTATGAACTAACCGACATTCAAGAAACTTCATTCACATATGACATTCATTTAAAACCTTTTACTTAACTACTTTTAAAATTCACTTCTATTTTTCCAATTTCAATTTCGGGATTATGATTAAACTTCACACATGTTACAAGTAACGAATAATAAGAATCATAGTTTACTAGAATGGATAATGATATCACCTTATTCAGTTCATTGTTTTTTTTACTTCGATAAACATGTTAATAGCTAATTGACATTGATTTCCTTGAAAATAAAAGCCTGCTATCATAAAGATTTCTATCGTTTATTTCGAACAAAGATGTTGACTCGGTGATAAGATCCCGTCGTTTATACATTGCCTTTAACGTTACAGTATATATATGTATATATCATCAGACTCAAATAGCGATTCAGATGAGAAATTCTGATAGTAACTACACTATAGTTTCTCTCCAAAACTTGTTGATATGGTAACAATAAACACAACAATAAATTTAAACAAATTTACTATATATGATCATTTAATAACAAATAAGTGTTTTGCTGTTAACTGTTATTTGTCTTTTTATTGTTATTGTTTTATAGTTACAGTACAAAAATATTTAAAGTCTAAACAAATAGCTCTATTATTATTTTTTCAGTAAACTGAATGGGAATATAAATGAGACTAAAAAAGTACGGGTAATTTACATGAATCGATTGAAGTTAGATATAAACACCGTTGGATATCGGCTCAGTGATCTACAGTTTAAGCGTTCATGTGCAAGATCGAATGTCCTGAGTTCGAGTTCTTCGAGCGGGATCGTGAGTGCACATTGCTGAGGAGTCTCATACTAGTACATAATGGCCGTCCATCAGTTTCGGGTTTTCAATGGTGGTCTAGCTTTAATCGATCCATGAATTCAACTCATATATATATCAGCTACAATGTTTGATTCACTTGTGATATAAGTTTATGAATTTATCTTAGATAACTTTCTTTTAAAAACTAGTTAACTATATTCAGTGAATTGTTAGACAGAGATGTTCATTGTTCCAATTCACCACAGGTTTTCTAAATAAGCTACTCTTAAAGTAGTATTACAAAGTGATTTACAATGAATTTCCGATTGGACTTAATTATTTCATATTGAGGAGATGGTGTAATATGTTACACAAATCTAATAAGTTCAAAATATTACAGGCAAATATTTTTAATAGTTTAAATCATGAATCAATTGAAGCTAGATCACCATGGAAAACCTGGAAGCACTGGACGGCCGTTCGAATCTCGCGAGGCGGGATCGCGGGTGCGCACTGCTGAGGAGCGCCCAGCAGGATGAAACGGACAATGTTATTCGAACGGTAACAATTCGCGTATTTCTTTATATTATCATGATCACTATCTTGTCTGTATAAACGTGTATGCTTGCGATTAGCGAAGTAAGGGCAGCATTCCTACAATTGAAGAATATATGGAACCGAAAACAACTGTCTGTCAACCAATGTCAAAGTCAGATCTTCAATAAGAATGTCAAGACAGTTAGTTCTATTGTACGGAGCTGAAACTTGAAGAAATACCACAACTGTCATCAAAATGTACAAGTAATTATTAATAGTTGTCCACGCATGATACTCAATATCCGTCGACCACACACTATCAGCAACAGCCTACTGTAGGAGAGGACAAACCAACTTCCATCTTAAGAGGAAATTAGGGAAAGATGTTGTAAGTGAATAGGATATACATTACGAAATAACCAAACTACATCATGAAACAAGCGCTAACTTACAATCGTGAATGGAAACAGAAAAGTAAAAACCAAAAATCAAACTACATCATGAATTGGAAGAATGAATAATTCAGTCAGTCAGTCAGCAACAACGTAGAACTTCGTACGTACATACGTCAGTTCGAGTTGCCACACCACATTAGCACAGAGATGCAGTGGTCCATTCAAATCCCGTAGTGGTAGATGTAGTAAAATTATAAGCTGTAATCAGAAAAATTAGGGTTTGAAGATGTTATTCAAGGAGTATAATCCAGTGAAATAAATTTGGAAAGAGAAAAAAGAGAGACACGAATTCAGAAGATTAGAATTTGGGAGAACACAAAGATTTTGAGCCCTGTCATTCAGGGTCTCTAACCATCGGTTGCTATCATCTCGTGGATCCCAACCAGTTAGTCTACACCTATCAGTGACTCAGTCTACTTGTCAGTGACTTCATGGACTTGTGCCATGTTTTGGTTTGGCCGCCCCTAGCTTTCTTCCAACCTAGTGTTACCCCACAGAACATCGCACGTCGAGGCAGTCGGTGGTCGGGCACACGTAACACGTATCCCAGCCATCTCAACTGATGAAGTTTCACTACGTCATCAATTGGTTTGCCATCCTTACCTAGTATCCGTTTCCTAACAACTGTATTACTTACTCGATGGTCCCACGATATACGAGCAATATTTCGAAGACACCTATGATAGAATACTAGGATACTGGGATCCACTCTACGAGAGCTAGTTCTGCCTTAGGACTCAATGCTATACCTACGCCAGCAAGGCCGCGGGAAGCAGCATCTGGGCTTCCAGATACACGAAGCGTAAATCGAGTCGGTTCGTTACTTTGACATGGTGAGGTCACATGAATGACACTACTCGGATCCTGTATGTGCGTTCTGGGGACGCAGCACACATCGATGGCGCGAGGTTCTAAAGTCCTAGCTAAGGAAGCCTGTTGACCCATTTGGCACAGTGTTCGGACGTTGAAAGCTCCTACGTGTAGTTTAGAGCGTGGTTTCAGGAGACCAGGAATAGCGTTCCGCGTACTCGAATCGTTTGCCCTAGCGGTGCGAAATGATAAAGAGACGTGAGAAGGGTTAGCCATGGAGATAAGACAGGTATTAGGAGGTGTAGGAAGGATTTGAATGTGACCACCTTGTGCTGTTACGGGTATGAGGGCTGATATCACTTCCCGGCTGCCCACACCGTGGAATAGTTCTTCTGGAGGTACCTGAAAAAGAAGTCGGATTAGTGTTGGTCTTAACGACCTGGGAGCATGACCGCAGAGCCCAAGGGACAACTGCTTGAGGCCGGTCGCGCACGGCCTTTTTATGGGAGGTTTTTAATGTGTTAGCTCCGTTCTTCAAAGGGCCTTACCGCCAGAGACGGAAACCCGTGAGGTAAGGTGAGGTGTGACATTTTTAGGGTCGACCTTTTCTAACCCATTCCTTCCTTGTGAGAAGGCAGTATAGCTGTAGATGTTGGTTGTCTGAGGGAAACACCTTACTGTTGTCACACCCCTCTACAGTCAGCAGTACGACTTCGCCCACAGACCTTGAGTTGCTGCCTTTAGTCTTACCGTTCGCCAATCGACCTGCCTGGCATGGTAGAACCTACAGGAACATATGTTCCAGCTAATATAGCTCGGTTGGATCATCACGATAGGCAAGCCCGACCACTGCATCAAGGTAGCAGCTCCGGTCGGGAACGAATAATTACTGGAAAATGATTATCCACAACAAGGTTTGATAAAGAATGCTAGTTGATCGCCTATCCTCCTGGCTTAAATGTAACAGGAGCAGGTTAGTAGATCACTTAATAAATATCAGTTTAACACAATAACAATAATATTCATCGTCATTATAATATATCCATTTCATATACATTTAATAAAACTACATTATTTTTCATGTTACAAAAGAACTTGAAATTCATATACACAAGAATATTAGTTTTCTTTCTTTCTTTTGTTGTTTTTTGCTGTTTCTGTTTTTGTTGTTTTTCCTCTTGTTGTTGTTTGTTTTTGTTCATGTTGTTTTTCTTGTTGTTGTCGTTTTTGCTATTTTTGTGGTTGTTTTTCTTGTTTTTGTTTTTTGTTTTTCTCGTTGTTGTTTTTGTTGTTGTTGTTGTTGTTGACTATTTGTTTTAATATATGATAATCCTGATTGTTTCTATTTTTTTCTTTTTTTCTTTTCCATTCAATATTCATTAAAATTGTGATACAATTAAAAATGTTTTTGAATTATTCATTTTGAATTAATAAGTTTTCTTTCAATTTTTTCTCTATTTTTTAAAATTTTTTCTTTATTTTTTATTTTTCTCTATTTTTTCTTTGTTTTTTCTTTATTTTTTATTTTCTTCTATATTATCATGTTTATATAGAATTGGTGTTATACAATATTGTTTTAATGAATTAGTATATAATGGTTGATAAATTAATTCTTTATTATTAAAATGTTTAATATCCGATGTTTTTAATAAAGTATAGGGATTATCATTCATTATTGATGAATTCATATCAATAATCAAGTCATTAGTTAATGGATTATGAATATCGGATATTGTATTATATTTATTATTATTATTATTATTATTATTATTACTAATAGGGTTAGTATTTGTACTTGTATTAAATGAACATAATGAATGACACGGTTGTGAACTATTATTATATTTAAATGTATCTGGATTTAATGTTCTATAAGTGGAATCTTTTAATAAAATATGATCACATGGTGAATTCGATGTTGTATTTTGTACACAACGAAGTAAATTGAATTCTGGACAATGTTCTGCACACAAAAAAAACAAGAAAATAAAACGTGTTTTTTTTATTATTTAAAAAAAATCTAATTAAATTGATGATAAGACTATAATTTATGGACAAACTTTGAGTGATGCCAAAATGATCTTGATAGTTTTTGATGGAGTTTTGTTCTCTGAGCTGGATGGTTTGGTCGTGGAGCTTTTCTTCTTTTTCCTGAGCGACATCATCAGCACAAAATTCAGACTTTTATCTTAAGGTTAAGATGGATATTGGCTAGTAGTGGAAACCAGGACGCGCGTTTAGTCCTATTTGTGACTCATTAGCTAGATGCACCTACATCTCAAAGTTGATATTCACTACAAGACTCGAACCCAGTACCGTTCGCTTCAAACGCCATCCACTTAGCTACCGAGTCCTGATAGCCAGGTACATACAGCTGATGAGTCACAAATAGGATGAAACGCGCGTTCTGAATCCCACTGCTAGCCACTATCCATCTTTGCTTAAATATATAATTAGTTTATCATAGTTATAAGCAAGTACATGTTAACGAGCTTGTTGATTATTATTTTTGCCCAAGTTAACAATAATTTGTTTTACTACTTTCATAATAATAATAATTGAACATTGTGTAATCGGAAGGGGTTTTGTGGAGATTGTAGTAATTTCAACAGTTTAGATCATGAGTCAATTGAAGCTAGACCATCATGGAAAACCTGGAAGCACTGGATGTCCGTTCCGTTCTATTGTGGGACTCCTCAACAGTGCGCATCCACGACCCCACCTCCTGAAATTTGAACCCAGGACCTATCAGTCTCGCACCAGGCGCCTAACCAACTAGACTACTGAGCCGGCCGGTATCCAACGGTGTTAATGGCTAACTTCAACTAATCCCCGAAATTGAGCAACACATCCACCATTGTCATCAGTGAGTTACTACCTCACAACTGACCCGGATGAACTCCATTGGTAACGGCTCCTCACTAGAACTTTAGGAGTATCTGTTGAAGTCAGTCACTAGTGAGCATATGTTGATTAGTATCAGAAGGGGCTTTGTGGAAAATGGATATGTGGAATGTGTGTAATCGACTGCAAAATGGATGAAACTAACTTGATACATTTTATAAACTACTTTTTACAGTACCGTTTATCAACATAATTATTTTTAAAACTGTGATAATGAAAGAAAATAAAACTAGACCACTTTATATGTTTTAGGTAGGAATGTAAATGGTAAGAACGTTTTCCAAGTAGATTTTAAACAAATTTAGTGTTAAATTTTCTGTTTATAAAAATAGTAGTAACTTTATTTAAAGTTTAGTAGTGGTTGTTTAACAGTGAAGCTTAATATAGATGTTTTATTCTGCTTGAAAATAGTCAACTGAATATCCATTTATTCCAGTGTTGATATGCCGTTTAACATAGTATCTTACGTTCTAAATGCTGATTCATTTTGATAATGAGTTGAAAATAGGATGATATAAGTAACCTGAAAATCTCAAATGGGATTCGTTCACAATGTACTCATGGCAAAGAGTCTGGTCAATTGTAGTCCATAGGATTGTTTAATGGATTTAAACCAATATATAATCAGTGAGAATGTTGACTATGAAATTATTAACGCACTATATATTTATCATAACATTGTTGCATATCTTCTTGCAAAGATCTGATTTACATTAGTTAAATTATATATATATATATAAGTGAGAACACCTAATCTTAATTAGAAACAGTGTCGTGTACGAGAACAGAAGTGCAGACAATTGAATGTATTTGGATACACATTTACAGAACATATTAGTAAAATTTGATAACCATACAGTAAATACTTCATTTGCAAAATGTTAATCAATTGTTTCAACTTGACTGTTCCTTTTGCAAATATCAGTCAATCGTCTCAGACTTCATTGTTCTTTTTTCTGGTTCTCTTTTCTTTGATCTTCTTAATTTTCTGCCTCCAAGCATTTCAATTTCGATTGATAATACATACTACTTATATCTGTCGACATAATTAGCACTCACATCACAATAGTATATCAATATGTAACACATTAATGAGTATATGTTATAAATTATGCCAGTGAATATTAAATAAATCAATAGATTAATTCGTTTCATATTTTCTGTTACCAGTGGGTGTTTAAATGAACAACTTATAGGTAAATAATTTATTATTAGGTTCATACTTGTTTAGAAAAATGTAGATTACCACTGCTGAAGAATCCCACAATAGGACGAAACAGCTGTTCCTATAACAGTCTAGCTTCAATTGACTCACCATCTCAACTATTAAAAAATGCGCTTCTCCACATTATTATTATTATTATAATATTATGTTTATTATTTCCATTACTTAATGCATGCTCTTTTCATTATATTAACTTGTATAAATAGAAAATACATTGAACATAAATTTCCTAGTTTTTGTTTGACTGATTTATTTATATCCGCCTAAATTTTTGCGGCGGGAAAATTTAAATTCAAAATGAACACTTTAATTTTCACACATATAATCAAAAAAATAATAAAGAGAAGAATGTAAGTTTATTTTTCTTCTATTTTTATTTTAAAAAAAAAATTAATAAAGAAAAGAATTTAAATGTAATTTTTATGTATTACATAAAGTTTAGTTCCGGTTATAAGACTTTTTCTATGAAACATTTTCTGCACAATTGTCTATTCCCTCCCCCACCCTAGCTTAAATGTTCCCCTTTTTTCTTTCTTTCTTTTTGATGTTTTTTTTTTGAGAAAAAAAGAAAAATGTTCTTTCAAAAATTTATTTGAGTGACAAGTTATGTCAATTTAATTGTATAAATTGTGTTTCTTATTATTAGTTGAAATAATAAACTATTTATTGTTTGTTGCTAAGCAACGCCTATTTTATGGTGGGTTTTTTTGTTTATTCTAGGCATACAAAGGTCTATACTATATTTTAGATAGAACATTTAAGTAACTAAGGAATTCAAATGAATGTCTACATTACCCAGTTTTAAGTATATACAGCTAAATTATACATAACCACTTTATATATATGTACCTTGTTCTACTTGTCTTACGGTTTATCAAAGAATTCCTAGTAAATATGAAAATTAAAAGAGTGAACTGTACTTTTTTTATACCGGTATTTTGAGTATAATGTCAAATAGAATTTTTTTTGTTTTAGATGTTTGGTAATTTTACTCACAGGATGAAAATGAACTAACTATTCATAACAATTATGAGTGTTATTCGGTATTCACTTGTTTCTTTGACATAAGATCACGTAAATAAAGGCGACAAATAAGTATAGATGGATAGCGGCTAGAAATGGGATTCAGGACGCGCGTTTCATCTTATTTGTAGATGTAGGTACATCCAGCTGACAAGTCACAAATAGGACGAAACGTGAGTCACGGATACCACTAATAGCTACTATCCATCTTTGCTTATAATGCCAATGAATTAAGGTAATATCGAGGCAATCGGTACAGTTTGCACATTTGCTATCTTAAACGTCAATGGGAAGATACAAGTAAACAATATCAAGTGAATTTAAAGGCAACAAGTTTTTTTAATCAGCTTAGTATTAAGCTTTACTTCAATGCAAAATTTTAAAGATATATAACTTCAAAAAAGCGGGACTTATGTTAAGTATGGAGAGGAATGTACCAATAATTATCGTGTTAGATCGAATGGTGTCCTTGGACGTTAAATGGACATTTCCTATTGGCCGATGTTTATTTCACTTGTTAAGTATTGTGTAAATGTTGTTTTCTATTTTATGGTACGATGTGGTTTGTTTGTTCGGTAATAAATAGAGTATGTTTGAAATATAATGATTCATAACTCAGAGGCTGTGACTTTTGTTCTAGACTCAACTGGCTGGGCTAGACAGGGAAGCGGGACCAATCAGGACCCTAGGCCGTTCACTAAGTGTTTTTCCGTGTCACTGATTCGATCGATAAAACGCTGCTTATCAAAACTTGCAGTCACACCCGTTACAACAACTTAAAGTCAAGTCACAAAGATTTGAACTAAAAGCGTAACATACTTGGTTTAAATTAAGTTTGTAATACTATGTATTTCCCATGTCGTCATAATGATCCCATTGTTATCCACCTTTATTCATAACTTGGTCTCCTATGGCATTTGTATTTTGAATTTACTAATTTAAACATATTTGTCCCATAGTATAATAAACCTTTGATGAGTAATTTTACGATTTTTGTTATGTAATCTATATCGTTGTGATCACGAACAAAGTGTATTGAGAATAATTTAACGCTATACATGTAGAAAACGTATGTTAAATTGGAACCTGAGTAGAATCTAACTGATTGACGTTGAAAATGTCAACTATTAGAAGGTTGTCAACTTAGTGTAATGAATTTTAATCCAAGAGTCATCAGGCTTGTAGGTTTAAGACTTATAGATGTTTAATGGTTGAAAACTCCTTCATTAGCCAGTATCAATTCATATCAATTCACATCAATGATAAAATTTACATGCTTAAATATTACATATGATCATCGCTTGAAATTATAGTTTAGGAACGAGCTTGAGTGGTTCTTAAAATGAAAACAAAATATTAAGGCCCTTCATTTAGATGTTAATGAGATCGAACAATATTGTCGACGGGCTCACCACTTTAGTGGCCCGGAATATGACTCCAAGTAGATCATATGAATGATTATTATTAAAATATATATGTCGCTTATCCTCGTATATATTCATCGACTGGAATCGTGTTAGTCAATAACGGAATTAAGTCAAATAACGAGAATAGACTTTTGAATACATATATTTTGTATATAAAACGAATGGAATAGAGTGAAGCGAATCGACGAGCGGTGGAGAAGGCGGATAAGCCAAATCCATTTAGTCAAGCGTTAAACAATATTTATAGTCACACAAAAATAAGTTACAGACATGTGATAAATAGGGTAAGAAATATACACACACATATGCGCTCATATAAAAACAATCAAGGTTGATAAGCGAATAATTAACAATGTCAAAATATGACTCAAGTAGAATGAATAG